TGAATGACATTTTTACTATGCTCTTCGTTTTGTGTGGTATTTTTTCTAAGTGTGCTATTGCTACCGCTGCTGATGTGGCCGCTGCTCCCGTTTTGCTGAAGTTGCTGTTGTTGCTGCTGCTGCTGTTGCTGCTGCCGCTGGTGCCGCTGTCCTCGGGTTCGTCCTCAATCACGCCATCGCCATGCACATGAACTACATTCGGACCGTCTTTCCTTGGATCCGCTTAGGCCGCACTGGCCCCGAATCCGGCGAGCAGTGCCCGAGCAGAGCGAATCCCTGTTTGGATGTTTCTGTTGCTGCAAAATCAATGTTGACGCAAATACGTGTATGTAGAATCATTTTGCCGACAGTTCAGACTTATTTCTTTCGCTACCGAATTTAATTGGATTTTCTCCCTGACTTAAGGGCTTTAACTGCTGTGGTATGTGGAAATCATTTCTGGCCCCAGACACGCAATGCGATCTTCTGCCCCCCCTCCTAGCCGCTCATTTTTCAGCTGGCCAACTGCAAGTTTACTCCACTCGATGATGCAGTATCCCCAGCTCGGCGACACTCCCCAAACACCTTGAAGCCCCCGGAGCCCCCTCCAGTCTGGGGAGCAGTAAAAACTCACTTAATTTAGCAACTGCGAGGAGTTAATCATTACATTCCGCCGGCCGAGTGGTGCGTGCTCGCCGTGATATCGAAGGAGGAGCACATGACTCAGCCGCCCGTCGATTTCGGTATCGAAATCTGAGTGACGGACCCGAGAAATGGATTAAGGGATTACATCGCCATCACACCTAGCTCTGAAAATATTACAAAATAATTTATCTAAAATCCATCAAATTATGAATCTTACTAATATCATATGTTTTATGTGTATAGTATAGTTTGTATAAAGTAGGTTTACCTTTCTAATATTATATGTTCGTCATTTAAAGTAATTATACAGTTACATATGATAAATATAAAAATATTTAATTTTTGTTATTAATTAATACTTTTAAAATTATCTTAGAATAGCATGTTTTGATCAACTTAATATTCGTCATGCAATAATGCAGTGAAAACAACTTAAAGATGGTGTACCCTTCATAACTCTGTAAATGGAGCACATTGATTATAATCCACATTAGTGTACATTTACGATGTGTGACCTTCTTTAAATTGCGATTTGCCCCGTAGAATGTCACAGTTAATGGCATTTCAAAATCAATTTCGCGGTTACACCAACTTTTAAGAAGAATCAGGAAGTAGTTGCTGTTTGAACAACAATGGAGTAATGGAGTACGTAGATTTGTTCGCTTTCGCGTTACTCAGCAAAATTTTGAGCCCCATTTGTATGCAAATGGGAAAAAGCAACTGGAGCCAGACAAAAAGCGACACTTTAATCATTCTGAGCAAGCGCTAAACATTTCCGACCAACAAAAACAGAAACTTGAGCATATTTCCGCTGGCTTTTGTCTCTGAAAGAAGGTCTAGCGCTGAGAAAAACATATTTCACTACGTATCTGAAGAAAAAAATTCCATAACTATTTCTAACTTAAATAACATCCAAGATAATCGATCAATATGGATAATTTCTCAGAGTAGAATTTAAGGGTTACATTTAAAAGTTAAAGGTTACTTTTTAGAAATATGCTTGGCAATCAATTGTAGTTAAGCCGGAAGATGTATTGCAACGTCTTTTGTATCTTATCTTTTATCTTTTGTATAATTCTCTTGGTGTAAAGACTCCCCAGCGAAAGGTTTTTCCTTATGAGGAAGCTACATTGCTGCGCCTAAAAGTTATTTTCTATTTGTTTGTTAGCTTTACGAAATTCCTACTCTTTGTTTGGGTTGGAGGAGAGTTCTACCCCAGGGTTCTTCACGGTTCACCAAGCTGGCGGCCCACTCCTCCAGCTCGACCCCCCACCCACCAAAAAAAAGACTATGACCCCCGCCTTGGTGGAAATCAGCATATGCATATGCCTACATGTGGGTAAACACCACCGCGTCGCTAACCACGGCCACAAAAACTCCGCCCGGCCTGAGCACTTCTTGTCTACATTGTTTGGAATATTTTCAGCCGGACAACGGACATACGGACATACGGACAAACGGACAAGCGGACAAACGGACGGTGGACAGGCGAGCAAACAAAAACAGGAAGCGTGGCTACCACAAATATGCACGGCAGACAGGGCTGGGCTCTTAGTTTTTGGGTAACTCTGGGCTGGGATGTAGATACTAGATGGCTATCTGGCTGGAACTTGGCCACTTACTGCCGAAATAATGGCGGCCGGCAGGCGTTAGCCAAGGCGGCCATAATTAATGCGCCCATCCCCGAAAAAGTTGCACGAAAAGCAATTAGAAGCAGGCACACAGTCGAACGCCCTTAAATGGAATTTTCATTTGTTATATAAACTAGAAATTTAATATAAACACAGTACTTCTGGGGCATTGCTTTTATTTTAGTTGTTTGAGTATCTTAATTCCAAAGACAAGAGATATTAATTCAAGATAAAAAGAAATGTAAATGATTTTAGTGTGCTTGAATTACTTAAATACTTACTTAATTAATTAACTTAATTATTTAAAGTTAGCAGGATACCTTATTGAATATTAACTTGCATAAGCAACAATTTCTTAAATATTTTTACACCACCCACGTTTTATGTAATAACAGTTAGTAAACACATTAAATGTATTAACATTGTATAAAGGCGTAAAATGGATATTCGTTTTTAAATAGATCTTACTTTCATAATTTAATAAAATTATCTGTCGTAATATGAGAATTAATAAATAAATTCACTGTTTTAAATGCACATACGATAGACATACTAATAATCTTATAAAACAAGGTTTTATTTAAAGAAGTTGGCCCGTAGCAGCGGGCATAATTTGTGTTGTTTTGGAGGGTTAATTTGCGCCCCCTCGGGCGGTTTGTTAGATACAGTGATAAATGTTTAATTAGCCGCGTTATTAATCTAATCAATCATGCAGGCCGAAATCAATCAGGAGGGGGAAGTGGAGGGGCTGGGCAACGCGAGTTAATTCCGCTGCTTAACATCCGATCAACACTAAGACCCCTCCAATCCCCCCTCTCTGCATCGCTGGCTCTTTGGCCTTCTTTGAGTTTGCATACTCCTCGCCCATTGGGCACAGCTCTGTATTGCAGTTAACAAGGGAGTGAAGGAGACAACTGTATAGCTAGTGGGCAGCTGCTGCTCTGCTCTCCAGACACGCCTCTCACTCGCTCTCACTCAGTTTGCCAGCCAGCTTGAGTTTGGCTCAAATTATGTAAGGTGAGTCGAGCTCAACGCGCTCTCCCTCTCTTTTAATTCATTTTTTTTCTTTTATTTTTTTTTTGTAATGTATGTATGTATGTTTTTTAGTGGAAGCAACTTTTGCCTAGTCTTCCATCAACATAAATAAATTAGTACGCCTGCGTTGGCCAAAGTTCTGTGTGCTGCGTGTATGGTTGTGCATTTTGAATGGCAAAACTTGTGCCTCTCTATCTCCGTAGAATCATTGTTATTTTGCGCTGGCAAATTACAGGCCATTAAAATTGATTATTTTCCATTATCAGTGTGGGCGGTTGTCCGTTCGCCGCCTCTCTGCCACACCCCCTGGAATCAAAGCGGGGCATAGAAAAGCGCGGCAGCAATGGGGAGTTGCAACAACAACACCTCTGGTTGTGCAAAAATCATTTCATGTTAAAGGGCCCAGGCACACATACACAGACACAGTTGGCGGCCATTATTACACGGCTCCTGATTTCTGTAATTCAGCCAACCAGCGAACAAGTGGGAGTGAGAGGGGAACAGTGGGCGAAATAAATCAATTAGCCGACCCATCTTCACCTCGTGCCGCTCCAGTCACACCACTGCAATCGCAGTGCATCGCTCCTTCCCTCTCGCTCTGCGCAGCCCTATCTCGCTCTCTTTCTGTCTCCCTAGTTAATCGGTTACGTCGCTGCTTACCACCTTCTTACCACCCAAACTGCACACCCCACTTGGCCAGTAACCACCGCGGTGGTTGGCCAAAACGAGTGGAGTCGCGTCCAACGCGGATTCATTGGTTTCTCGTCCGGCCAAGTCACCTCTGTCCGCCAAATGTCCCGTGTAATGCGCTTTTTGCGCATCCTCCTTTTTGGGGCAGAGGCAGAGGAGCCAAGGATATTGGAACCACGCAGAAAAATTAGATATATCTTATGATGATAATTCAAAAAGTTCGGATATTGGTTTAAATTGTTTCAAGCGGGCAAACGGAGATATCTCTTTTCGGTTATGTGCAGTTTGAAACGAGATATGGTTTTATATAAGATATATCTATAAGCGCAGCTTAACCTTATTTATAAGTATAATAAAAAAAATATTATAATATAACAAGAAATATTTAATTTAATACATATATTTATTAGTATATCCGTTTTATTTTCCAACTAATAGCTTCTGCCTTTGGTATTTTTGTTGCAATTTTAAAAACGGTTAAAAACGGTTAAATATAAGATCGATATTACATTATGAAATAGACACCTTTTCCAAATATATTTAAAGATTAAAGGTAAGCTTTTAGTTACGATTTTATCATACTATTGTGTTTTGTTTGGGTTCCATTGCCAAACATCACTGAAGCTGCTATAGGTTTTTTCCAGTGCTAGCTTTGGTGATCGATGATTGACAGCCATTTCGTGGTGTCGGCATTTCCATATAAAAACTTTTCCAACGCGCCAACACCACGTATGTATTACCAAACAAAATCGCCGATCAATTAAAAAGGCCGAAAGCAACTGGTAGCGCAGCTCTGGCCAGAAAGTTTTCATAAACAATGCACTGCAATCGAATGGTCGAGTAATTAATTATTGAACTTTTACAACTGTTTCGCTTTTCTTCACATTTCTTCCACCGCTGATTTTGCCTCTCACTTCCACACAGCGAACTGCTCAATGGGGCGACGCTCAAAGCGAGCACGCACACACGCTCACACTCACACTCACACTCGCAGAGGCGGTGGAAAAAAAACCCCTGAATGCTCAGTGGCAAACCGACCACAAGCACAGGCAAACCAGAATGCAGCAACAACAGGCACAGCCACAGCCACAGCCGCAGCTATAGCAACCCGATCCAGGTTTTGGCCAAGTAAGATATTGCGCTGCCGGTGGCTCCGAGTTCAGTCTCATTCAGCGAGTCGGCGGGCGTTGAGTTTGAGTGCGAAGTGCGGTGCGCGTCGAGTCAGCGAGCGTTGAGCAGCAACAACACGACGCAACAGCAGCAGCAGCAGCAGCAACAGCAACAGCAACAGCAACAGCAGCAACAGCAGCAGCAGCAGCAACAGCAACTTGCAACAGCAGCGGCGGCAACACAAGCGTGCGGTTCCGGTGCGCGTTTTCGAGTGGCGTTTCGAAAAAAGTTCACAAATAATCGCATCAAAAAACCGTCGGTGAAACAGAGAGCCCCACACAAAATGCCGCCTGTTCACTGAGAAAAAAGGGGGAAACACCAATTGCATTGCTGGCGTTTTAGAACTTTGGAAGCGTGGCATGGCAACCAGCAGCTCACCCGGGCCCACAAGGACAACTGCAGCCATCAAAGTCGCCCTGCCAGGAGCAGCATCCGCCATTCCCGGCACCACCACCATCAACACCACCACCACCACCGCCACCCAATCCCCCGGCGCAATCATGCCCATGGCCGCCGTGCCATTGCCGTCGCATCTGCAACTGCTGGGCAGTTCCGCCGGAGGCGTCGGCCAGCCGGCGGCAATCACGCCCGTTTCGCCCACGGCAGCTACCACAGGTGAGTGTTTGGCTAATTAAGGCTAAAAAGGCTAATGCTAAATGCGTTGGATCGCAACAAAAAGATCACTTCTAGCCGAACAAAAACATTTTGTAGACCTCGTCGACTAGGAAACACATTAACTTTCTGGGTGGAGTTAGGAAACACTTTAAGTTCGCACAGTTTTGTTTTTATTTAACAATTTTAAACGATGGCTTTGAAGTTATAGAATTCACATCCCGAAGCCAGTGTAGTTACTTTTATTGAACTAAAAATGTACTACTTTTTAGTACATTTAGGCTTAGGCTGGAAGTTATACCTAAAACACCAAAAAAGACAATTAATGTATTGATATATACTACTAATTATTGTTAATAAGCATATTTAGCTTTTTGCGTACAAAAGCAATAACTATATAAGCTAGGCAACTTCCAAAACGTTTTTTCTTTACTCAGAAGATAAAAAAATATAAAATACGATTAGTGTCAGAACATGGAATTTATCTTCGTCCAATAAAAAGCTTGCAGTTTGTATTCTTATAAAATTCGTACATATGCAAGAAATTATGTTTTTTTTTAAATACAGGTTTGACTTATTGTATTTAGCACAATGCTTAAAAGCTACTAAATTTGCTTTTAAGTTCACTGATTTTCCGGTCGTTCGATGTTTGATTTCGCACGAGAACTACAAATGTTGTATCTTGACTAACATTTAAGCTAAGTTCGCCGCTTTCTTAGTTGACTTTACTACCAATATTGCCGCGCTGCTGCGGCTGCCCCTTGTGGCACTGCCAATGCTGCACGCCCCATGTGAGCGGCAAGATTCGGGCGAATTCCGTGAACTGACAGGGATATCGGAATCGGGGGTCCGAAACAGTTTAAAACAAAAGCCAAGCGGCCGAAAGAAACTGGTGGCACTAGTCAAATGCCTGCTGGAGCAGTGCAATGATTTGGAAATTTCACAACAGCAACGGCAACAGCGACGCAGCAGCAGCAACGGCAGCAGCGGCAGCAGCAGGAACGCAGCAGCAGCAACACGCAGCAACACACAACGGAGCTGTGGCAACTGTTTTGGTCTTTCGCACATCAGTGGCAATTTGTTTTGCACAAGTATGGGTTGTCAAATAAAATTAGTTCACGTCGGCGGCCATCGAATGTATCTGCAAGATACACACTCACACACATGCAGTTGTCCCCCGGACGGAAAGAGCGGGCGGCGCGGGCAGCAAAGCTTTGACTTGTCTCTGGAAGGTGTTGGAAGTTGCACAATAAATAAATAATTATAAAAAGAGCCCCGAGAGGTAGAGACTCGCTGCAAAAGAGACACCAGGCTGCGGGGGGATCTTCGGCGGGGGTATGGCAGGGAGGGGGAAGGGGGGAGGGGCAGTAGGTAGGTACATGGCATACATTGAAGTTTAAGCATAGGGCAGAAACCATACTTAGGGCTCTCAGGTTACGTGGTGCGTGTATTCGCATTATTCTTAGAAAGCCAAGCGTATAAAAGGTGTGCACAATGATTCCGAAGAGTGCCTCAGTTCGGTGGGGCTCGGTATGGTTTATAGTGTGGTTTATAGTTCGGTTTTGGTATGGTTGGGTTTGCGATTTCGTATGCACATGGCCCGAACCCCGCTGCTTACGTTACTTGCCACTTGCGTTACGTTTGCGAATATGTGTGTCACCCCAGATGGCGATTCTTCCGGCTAAGGAATCGGGGCTACCATTTCAGGACTCTTTAGTCGTTTTCGAGAATATGATAAAAAGAGTGGAATTACTAGTTACTAAAGTGTGCCGTTTGGATTACCTAACTATATTTGATATACAGTACACCTACAAATGCTTAGCTTACAAAGATACAAAAAGAATTGTAAGTAATCCATACGGAACATTTTCACACTTTTTATGATCATAACTAAGATCATAGTTCAAACAGCATTACATTGTTATATTGTGCAAGAAAAATAATAGTAATAAAGATTTTTTAATTTAAGGCGCGCACTACCTGTTAAACTTATAATCTCTCCCCTAAATCCAATCCAATGCAATAGTCCATAAAAAATTTTCCCCAGGCTTTCAGATGAACATAGCAAATCAGGTGGAGATAAAATTAAAAAGCAATTATGCATCCCTGAAAAGATCAAGGTGTTTTATTTCACTTTGCATATACGTAGTAATAGCCGAGCATAATCCAGAGCCGTACAATGAAATCCAATAAAGGATGGCATTAAATTAGAGTGACTTATGTAAGAGCACGTCGCCCCCCGCAGCAGAATTCCTGGAGCTTAGGAAAATGTGCGAAGATCGCAGTAATGCGCACTGGCAGTAAAAACCAGAAGCTTCGCTTTCCAGAGGACGAGTAATGCGCTGCGCGCGACAAACAAGATCAGCGAGCACTAACTGAAGGGGATTGGGATTGGGATGGGAATGGGTATGGGTATGGGGATGTGGTTAGGAGATCGGGATGAGGATGCGTCTGCGTCTGCGTCTGCGTCGAGGAGCCACATAAAAAGCGAGCAACTTTAATTTATATGCGCTGCCTGGGAGAGGGGGAATGGGAGATGGGGGAACGCGGCGGGGCTGGAGCGGCAAAAAGTTACCGGTAGCAATAAATCAAACTATCAATTGAATTCCGAGGCGATCATCACTTGTGGCGAGCTGCGATCCCCAGTTCGAGTTCGAGCTTCAGTCCAACTCCGATCGGCATCGCTTCTTGTTATAAGTCTCACGCTGACGTGCGAACGGACACACTGCGAGAAATCCCCACTCACTCCAAAAATCAGATCCATTTTTGGGGATATACCATACATTAACAACACAGCTTTGAAGGCAGGAACAGCAACAGCTATAAGTATTTGCTCAAACATAGCTATAGCTCTTGTTTTAAATTGTCATCAGTTGTTTTATTATGTTGTTTAAGAAGAAACAGTCATTCGCTTACTTTAAATATAGCTATCATATATATCAACTTATACAATTTACTTATTGTCATACTTGCTTAAGACAGATTGTAAATAAAAAGGGATTGTAAAAAGGGAAGAAAAAAAAAATATATCAATTTATAACAATTAAAATCCGAATATTTCTCTATGAATTAAATTTAAATTCCCTATTCCTAATTTAGCTGTTCTAGAAGAGCGCAGCTTTGAAAATCCAAATAGTATCAAATACCATTGTATTCAATGAAACAAAAATATATAAGCGACATATGCAAATGTTAGGTACCCAATTAAAGGCGCAGTGTACTCCACGCAGAAGAAAAGCGGATGGTTTGGCTTTTGGGCCGTGGTTCCAGCGATTTTAAGCCGCTTTTGCAATTGACTGAGGCGCATCGCAGGGCAGTCGGAGCTGTCGCATTGCGTAGTAAATCATCGGTCGATCCATAGAATCTGGACTGTGACCAGTCCGGGATCGGGACTGGGGCAATCCGGGGGCAAACCCACCGCCTGTTGACATCCAAGTTGGCCGGCTGTTGCGGCGGCATAAATCAAGCATGGCCATAACCGCGGCCACAACAATTGGCGCAACATGCGAGTGCAACAAATTGCAGCCGGTCACTTTTAAATGGAGTAAGCTGGTCCAGGTCCCAGTCCCAGTCGCAGTCCCATCTGCATGGGGTTTAATTAGCCCGGGAGCTGGTGGAGCTGGTGGAGCCGCTGGAGCTGACGTGGCAGGAGGAGATGCCCAATCGAAGTGCATACTGGGAACACGATGGCATGCCGTCGCCACACACGGAGCTCGATCGCACCAAAAAAGAGGTGTTAAAATGTGTGCAGTTCTCGCGATCAGATAAAATGTCAAAATGAACATAAAAGCTTCTACATCCGAGGAATGGCCAATTGCTGCCAGTCCAGTGACAAGCGATCTGCCATCCCATGCCGCGATTCTGCGATTTCGATTGTGATTCCGATACCGAGATCCACACATCCAGGGCTCCACAGATCCACTGATGCAGAGTTCCAAGCTCCAAGCTACAAATTGCCAGCGAGAATTTCATAAATTCCGACTGGAATCAGCAGTCGGTGTCAGCGGTAATGGACCACACCGCGTCCATTATGCCCATAAACGTTGACACTTCCGCCACTGGACGGGGCATAGAGGACGGACCAGCTCCTCCCGGCTCCTCCACTTTGACTTTGACTCTGACTTTGACGTCGTCGATCAAAAACACACCGAAATTTGTCCGCTGTCCATCCCAGTGCCCCCCAAAATGATCGGAGCCCCAGTCTCCAGATGATCGGGCTACAAATTTCTTGGTGTTTCTGTGTCACGCGCGGAATGCCGGCAACAGCTTCGTTTAAATTCCAATTGACGTTTAATGATTTGGCGAGCCTGCACTCAGAAAAACAGTGTTTAACAGAAAATGCTCAAGAAATAACAAGATAACATAAGAAATGGTATATTAGCTGTGTAATGGGAAATATGATACTTGTTTCTTTAAATACAAGTATTAAATATCAATTCTGTACTAAAATACTTTATATTCAATACTATATTTTCTGCCTTAATATCATAAAATCTTATGATCTTTAATTATGAGCTCATACTATATTTTCTTCCCTAATATCAGTTGAAAACTTAAAGGGTGCCCAAATCTAGTTTCCCACTTCTAGCCACACATTGTTCTCTGTGTTCTAATGATGGCTTGTTTGCTCTCCCATTGCAGTTCTCGCCCAGCCGCACAGCCTGAGCCCCTCCACGCCCATCCTGACCCAGGGAGCACCCCCAGCTCCGGCGCTGGGCGGCATCTTCTGCGGAGGCAGTGCAGCGGCGGGACCAGGAGCAGCAGCCGCTGCAGCGGCCACCAATCTCAATGCCCTGGCCTCGCAGCACCGACTACTGGAGCTGTCCCGCTTCGGACTGCGGGGATATGATCTGGCCCAGCATATGCTATCCCAACAAGGAGCCGTATCCAAGCTGCTGGGTGAGTGGAGGGGCCTTAGCCAAGGGCAGTTGGCAAGTGGGAAAGTGGGAGAGTAGGAAGTCCTACGTGGTCTAGACCAGCCTGACCAATGCGATCAGCGACATGACGCGGAACCACAAAACACGCGCCCCAAATGCAATTGCCAAGTGTCCCCAAGCGTTCCAATCGATTTGCACGGCTCCGTTTGTTGGGGTCACGTAAACACGACAAATCGATTGGCAATCGCCGTCGCCCCCACCTGCACCTGGACGCCCCTCGTCGCCTCCTGCCCCCCAGGAAGCCTGCAGCAGCCGCACACCTGTTGCCACCTGTGGCCAGAACACCCAGCCATGTCAATCTCGATTTGCACACATCTGCACTCGAAGTGGCTAATTGGAATTGCAGGCTTAAATCTTGAGCCGGAAACAAAGAATTCTGCGGCTTTTAGCGGTTGCCTACAACAAGAAACGTAGCAATGTGATTTTAAAGGTTAATATGATCAACTTTTGACACCCTGGAGTAGGATTATTTCAGGGAACTCTATCTTTAAATGCCATTTATGCTGTGACATATCTTTGAGATCACAAGCTTATAGGTCACAGCCTTAAATAGTTAATACTGAATCATTTTTGGGAGCACTTCCTTATAAAAGAACATGTTAAACAGCAATTCAAATGATTTAGCAGCTAACTATGGAAGTGCTGTTTTGTTTAGTGTGTCGGGAAAAGATCCGGCAAATAAATCTGCCCATTCACAAATATTCAGCGTAGCTCCAAATCGCGCCATCCGATCTGCGTGGATGCCATTCATTCCCATTCCAGTCAATGTAAATTGTGCAAATAATTTCCGTTTTGCACAAAAAGCTAGCTGGAAAACAAATGCACAAGTACGTTTGTGCCCATTCATTAATTTAAGGCAGCCGAATGCGCCGTGAAAAAATCTGGCTGGCAATGTGGAAAATGGAAAATGGAAAATGGGTTCTGCACTCGAAATCAAAAGTAATGTTGGTTAATCAGGGGATTAAAAAAATGTCATATCTGGAATTTGCCCATAAATTAACCGAAATCAAAGATTACACAGCTAATTCGGCGACGTGAAGCGACATCACTGCCATTTTCTCGCTGTGTAATCCGGCGACAGAGCCCAATTTACAAGATAAACGCGCGCGCCTGTCAACTGCTTCCGACGAATTATCATTTGAGCCGACTTTGTGACTCCGCTGACTCCGGTGGCTACAACTGCGACTTGGAGTCTGGGCCGCTGAGCTGATGTCAAATATTCAAATTAGCGCTCCGCTGAATGGACGCCGGCTGCTGGCTTAATTGTCTAGTTAGTTAGTGGCCCGGAGCAGGCAGTCAACAGGTAGCAGGTATCTGCCATTCCATCTCTGCCATCTGCTGTGTGTGCAAGTATCTACTATCTACTATCTAGTATCTGGTATCTGGTGTGGTGTGTGGAAGCCTCCAAAAGCGATACAATGCGCCCGCCGGGCTTTTGACCCATTCGAAACGCCCACACGGACTCGCCAGCTTGGAACAATGTGAAAATTATGCGAGTCGCACAATACTCAAGCCCAAGGCACTGGCAATAGAAATGAAAACAGCCAAATTGATTGCACAACTGGGAGGGGGAATGTGTCTACTTAGGTTTACACAGCCGGACACGCCCTCAAGCGAACAGATTTGGGGCTCCCAAATTCATTTGGCTAATTATGCACATTTTTCACACACAATCAGGGCCAAATTTGTTCTCAAAACAGCAGTAGTCTCCACGATCAAACATAAATCAACATCATGAATGATATTGAAATGGAAATTACCGCTTTCAACTGGAAAGATTGACGCTTACTTCAACCAAAAGCCAGGCAAAGTCATATCACTTGATAAGATTAGATATAAACCTATTCGGCCCAAAACTATTTAAGAGATATTCTTCCTATCTTTTATCCTTACAAGTACTACAGCACCATTTATCCATCTTGCAGGCACCCTGCGACCACCTGGCCTAATTGGCGGCTCCAAGCCGAAGGTGGCCACCCCGACTGTCGTCTCCAAGATCGAACAGTACAAGCGCGAGAATCCGACGATCTTCGCCTGGGAAATCCGCGAGCGACTGATCACCGAAGGTAGGTGAACGCAAACAATGACCAGGAGGATACCGACTTCGATTATGGAGCAGGTTTAGGGAGTAGGGAGTATCGAATGGGAAGGGACACAATGCGAGTAGCTGGGCTAATTAACTGACAGGGAACCCCCGAAAGCGAAATTGGCCAACAAATGACAACGGTCGCGACAGGCGACTGGACTTGGTTCCAACTCGCTTACGCGCTTCTCCAGTTTCCCCAGCTTCTCCAGCTTCCCAGAACCACTGCTCCTCAGCTTGACAGGAGGAACTGGAAGGAGCAGCCATCAGCATCGGGCATCGGCACCGGATTGATGTGTTTATGGTGCTCGTAATGCTCGAATACTCGAATGCTCCCATGCCCGTCGAGGGCCCATTTAATGTTGTAAGGAATCGGTAGGATATGCATACACATATTGTTCCACTGCGGCAGATTTAGATTTATCGGTTGGCTAATTTATGAACATCCGCTGCGAGTCGTCCGATTGATATGTAAATGTGCTCACATTTGTGTCACTCATTTCGGGCTCCCTCCTCCGAAGCTGCGAGATAATCGCGGACGGAATAGGAGCCAGTTAAGTAGTCCAATCGGCGACTCAGCAACCAGTCCGTCACTTGACAGTTGCCCGTGGGCAGTGGTAGATGGTCAGAGGAGAGCGGACACTGAACAGTGGACAGAGTGCAACGAATCGATGCGATAGCCATCTCCCGCATGAGACGCACGAACACACACACGGCGAGATCGCAATCGCCCCGCTCATTACAGTCAATCTGCAGCTCATTTCGGGGTCACCAGCAGGTCATGATGCACTGCATCCGGTGCAGGAGACGTGGAGTATGGGTATGGCTATCCAAATCAGCCTCCTTCTCCCTTGAGGCCTGTCAATATCAATTGAAATGAACTGATTTTAGGCAAAACTGAACTGATTTTTAGGAAAAATCTTAATGTAAATCAAATTAAATAGATTAGGATTAGAAGTGACAAAGTTAGGACTCCAATTTGATTAGCTGGGCCAGCAACTACCAGTAAAAGAAGCTCGTTTTGGGTATAATAGGTATAACTGGGTATAATAATAACTCTAATTATTTTGGAGATAATTTCAAAGTAGTCATATATATCTTCCATATCCCAAGGCGTCTGCACCAATGCCACCGCTCCCTCGGTGAGCAGCATCAATCGCATATTGCGGAATCGAGCGGCGGAACGGGCAGCTGCGGAGTTTGCCCGGGCGGCGAGCTACGGCTATGCCATCCATCCCACGCACCCGCATCCGTACACCAGTTTCCCCACCTGGCCGGCGCATCATCCGCTGTGGGGAGCCGTTCCCCTGGCCACGCCGCCTCCTGGCGCCGGCGCGCCCCTCCCCCAACCGGGCGGCAGTGGGAGCAGCTATGGCAGTGATGGCAACATGAGCTCAAACCCCAACAGCAGCAACAGCAACAGCAACACCACCCACAGCAACGGCCACAACGGGGATAGCAGTGCCGGGAGTGGACGACTCTCCCTGCCGGCGCTTTCGCCGGACTCCGGGAGTCGGGATAGCCGCTCCCCGGACGCCGACGCCAACCGGATGATAGGTGAGCCAAAGTTCTTAGTTTACTCAGCAGCAAGGCCTGTTATGCATTCAACAAGTAATGTAGCACAATGGGCTGGTGTGCCACATAGACTGAAACGATTATGTGTTGCAGACATCGAGGGCGAGGACAGCGAGTCGCAGGACAGCGACCAGCCGAAGTTCCGGCGCAACCGCACCACCTTCAGTCCGGAGCAGCTGGACGAGCTGGAGAAGGAGTTCGACAAGTCGCACTATCCCTGTGTGAATACCCGCGAGAAACTGGCCGCGCGGACGGCGCTGAGCGAAGCCAGGGTGCAGGTGAGTCGATGGAACCTCCTTGCATTTTTTTGGCATACCAACTCGAACACCCCCTACTAACCACCACACAGACGGAGCCGACAGCTTCGGCAGCTCCGGCGATGAACACAGACAGCGAATCCCCGTCTCTTTTTTTATCGACTAACAAATTGTCTCTTCACCGATTGATCAACCAGGTTTGGTTTTCCAACAGACGAGCGAAATGGCGGCGCCACCAGCGGGTCAACTTGCTCAAGCAGCGCGACTCGCCCTCGACATCGAGCTCACCCACGCCGTTGGTCAGTCCGGTCAGTCCGGTGGCCACGACCACCGCCACAGTCACGGTCACGGCTCCGGTCCCAGTTCCAGTTCCAGTTGCAGTCCTCGAACCTGGCCAGCAGAAGCAGCCATATCCGTACAGCCAGCACGGCAACACCAGCAGCAGCAGCAGCCACACTTGCAACACCACGAGCTGCAACACCAGCAGCAGCAGCCACCTCCACATGGACGCGCCAGCAGCAGTGGCGCTGGCCACTGCCTCACCCACAGCATCAGCTCCATTATCAATGGGCGGTGAGAACAGCGCCTTTCGAGCCTTGCCCATGACCTTGCCCATGCCCATGCCCATGCCCATGACCTTGCCCACGGCATCGGCGGCGGCCTTCGCGCTCAGTTTCGCCCGCCAGTACATAGCCAAGTACATGGGCGCGCCCATTAATCTGGGCCATGGTTCGTCATCGGGCCAGGCGCACTCTGGCCGGGATTACCAGGCGGAGGAGGGGGAGGCGGAGGCGGAGGATGCGGACGTGGAGGAGGTAATCAACGTGGAGCACGACGCCGAGTGACCATTTCATTCCTATCGCTTTAAATCGAGAATTTAGTGCAATTTTTTACATAATTTATTCAGTTTCTATCACTACAAGCAACTTCTAACCGCGTGCTGAGTACAAATAAAATCGAAACGATAAGTTCTCACGAGTTTCGTATAATTGGTTTGGAAATTCAGAAGATGACACCCTTTGACACCTGGCGAAACACCTTTGACACGCGGGGAGCGGTGCGGGGCTTGGAGATCTCGAAAGAGACTTTTCGAAAATAACTCAAGTGGACAAATCTGACAATTTTGTGGCTACCAAAAGCGAAGTGAAAAGAGACACGGAGGTGTAGTCTGCCAGTGGCACAGGCTTCAGCTCCACAGACACCAACTCAAGTGGCTGGCGAGAGATGGGTTTGGGTACGCTGGGGATCTGGAGGGGATCTGCGGGGATCTGCGGGGGATCTGGAGGGGATCCATCGCTGGAGCCGGGTGATTAATGTGGCTTTAATTACATGCGCTGGCGAGTAGTCGTCGCCGTCCTCGTTTTTGTCGTCAATGTGTATGCTCGGATGGATCACTATAATTATATAGATGGCCGAATTAAATTTTAATTTAACGCCTGTCAAATCAGAAAACCACTGCCATAATCGTTCGCTCAAGTGATGATTCAAGATGATCCACGGGGGCAGCACCCGAAAACAGTTATTCATCTCATCGCTGATCGGTGAGAATCAATCGCGCTATGCGCCAACTATTTCTCCTCACCACCATCCATCCATCCATCCATTATTGATTGTCCGGATTGTAATGAGCCACCGAAGGCGTCAATTCCAGCGTCGATCGGTGATGAAAGAAAGACGCCTGCCTGCCAGGGAATGCGAAACAATTAAAGCCTGAATCTCCATACTGGATACCTGGATACCTGGATACCTGCGGCTTTCGATGAGTCGTCGAAATGGATTGTGCTCCACAAGCAGCGCTACACCGGAAAAAATGCAATCAAAGGTCCATTTGACATGAGTGCGGAGATTTCTCTTGTCATCAGGGCGCCATTAAATTGACATACAAACTTCGAGTGAATCCGCTAAAGGGAATGGTAAATGTATTATCAGAATCTTACCCTTCTTTTCTTGTTTCATAAATTGATCCGGTATGGGTACAAAATTAAAAGGGTTTAAAGAATGGAAAATATTATAGAGCATAGTTATATTCTAAAGCGGACAAACCTTGTTGCTAGTAATAGAAAATATGATTCATTAATATTACTTAATATTTCAGATCCGTTTATCTCAGTGGATTGTATCTAATGGATTGAATAGTCTTTCTCCGAAATAGCCTTTGTGTCCAAAGTCGCGCTTTGGGGTCATGTGCCGCTCTATTTTCGTTGGCAGCATCGCCTGCGATCCCCAATATCCCCGAATGGAGCTGGGATACCCAACCGCGACCGGACTGCATATCATCCCAGAGTTCCGACTGCATCCTTGCCGCAAACTCAGCCGTTGTCCGTTGGCTGTACCTGTTAATTGCCAAAGGCGTTAGTATTAAGTGGTTTTCGTGCTTATTATAAATATCTCTTAATTTTCGCCATCCCCACGTTGTTGCTGCTGGTGTGAGTGGCTAAATCTTGAAATGGCAATCACCGACCTGCGAACTGCCCAACAACCCAACATCCCAGACCAAAGGCAGCCATGTGGACATCGTCTGCGGACTCGAACTCGGACTCGTCGTCGTCTGCTTTGTTGTCATTATGTTGTGTTATTTGGCACGATTTGTTAAGCTAAGGAGCAGGAATGGGCCTCAGTTGAGGACTGGAGTGCAGGGGCGAACCCAGAGGGATATAATAATAACTAATAATAAAAATATATTTTAATTTATAAGTAAGTAGCTTAAACTTGTCAACGAAGTTAGGCTTATCAAAGTTAAAGGAGCAGCTATGGCTTAGAACCCCTTTGTGGGTTGCTTTGGCCCATGGAACCCCCTTGGCTCCGCCGCTGTCCTCGGATCTCCACTCCAAACTGAAGCTGAAGCTGAGGGCTGTGCGCGGTTGCATGATGCTGCCGATCGATTGGCTCCGAATCGATCAGCGGCGCGGCGCGGAGCGGCACCGGAGCGGAATGGCCAAAGCCTTGCGTCTCCGGTAGCCGGATCACTAGTCCCGGCTCCTCAGCCCCAGCCTCAGCATCGCCCGCCCCTTCTGATTTGGCCCTCTTTTCAGAGAGTTGCCGCTTCTGGCCATGGGATCGGGAGCCAAACTGGCGTCGCACAGCACAGAGGGCCCATATAATTGTCGCATGCAAGATCGCGGCCATCGACATCGGCATTGACAACCTGGAAAAGTGAAGGGGGGCTGGGAATGCGGGGGGATGCTCCGGACAGGAGGACATGAAAGGTAACGCATTGCTGCGACCAGGAGAATAAGTAATTCACTTAACGCTTTAATATCGCTGATAAATGCAGACCAATCTGCATTCCCCCCTCCGATCTCGGTTCCTTGGTCCTGGACGATCGCCACTCCATACATTTCCCCTTAATTGGTGCAATTTCGAGCGATTTTATTTTATTTCGCCTGCGTTCGTTGTTTTTCTCTGTTTTCCACCTTGGAGATCACCTGTGCCTGCGCAGACTTTGTGGCTGCGGCGTGCGAACAGTCCGCTCATTTGCATAAATTCAAATTCATTTGCACGTCATTGGGAATGGGAACCCGAATGCAAATCCGTATGCGACTGCGAATGCGATTCGAGCATTGTTTTGCACGTGTTGACAAGTTGCGAGGGGCTTGTAGTTCCATAAAAAATAAAATAAAAAGAGGGACGCAAAATAAAGCATAGGAGGAGCCGGGACCGGATGCCCCAATGATAAAATGCGCATCCTCTCCAGAACCCTCGAACCCATGGGTGCATCTTTCCTGGCGACCAACCGACGACGTCTATGCGAGTTTAATGCAAGCCTAAGCCTATAATTTGATCGTATCCACACAATAACTCAGCGCAAAGCCCCGAAATCCAACTTGGCCTCTGGGCGCTGGGAGCTGAGAGCTGGACCCTCTGCCCAACGCACTGCCAAATGCCCAGTGGCGCTCTTGGGGGCGTGGCCGCGCCCAGCAAGAGCAGTGACAGAGCCGATAATGGATGCGCAGCAATGCCATTTCTGGCAGATCGGGGAGTCCTCCGCGGCTTCTGATAAGACCACCACCAGCGGAGCACACTCGACGAAATCAGGCAAGTGAAGCTAACCAAATTCAGATAAGGTGGTGCTTGTAGGGAAGAATGCGGCTTAAATACGATCAATACTGTTCGTACGCTTCAATAATAAGTTAATGAGTGATGTTTTATAATGGGAAGAATCACTTCAAGCTAATGTAGCTATGAAGAATACAAGGAGCTCACAGCGTTTCTGAAGGAATCCAATCTTATCCGGACTTATTACAGATCCCTGATACAACAATGTTTCTCTTATCTAAATAAGCTTAGCTTTCGTTTTATATTAGAAGGAATCACTTAAAGCTACAAGGAACACACGGAGATCAAAGCACTTCTGAAGGAATCCGATCTTATAGAATTTATATTCTTGATAAAACAATGTGTCTCCTATCTAAACTCCTCTACTTATGTGTGCCACCATTTGATAAGTTATGAAATATTATTTCTCTTCTTAAAGGGTCTCCTATTTTTTCAGTGCATTCAGGACAAGTAGTTGTTGAAAGCGTCGAGCGAGTGCCCAGCCAGGAACGCCCGGCTCACTGGCTCACTTAGCGGGCAGGAGTCGCAAGTTCGCTGGACGTTGGACGTTGGATGTTGGATGTGGAGCCGGCTCGATCGATCGGATTACCCGGCAGGCTTTTCAATTCAACACATCCTATGGTCGGCGCGGCAATTATATGCTCGTAGCCGCTCGCATCCAGATCCGATCTGCCACGCCCCCTGGCTGGGCGTGCGACGGCAATTATAGCCGCTGAGATGCCAAAGACGCTGACTTAAATAAATGCGCGAGTTTGGAAATTGAAAGGGAATTAGCGGTGGGCAGGCAGCCGATCTGCAGAAATATTGTGCATAATTATATGCTAATCCGAGTGACATTGAATTATGTGCAGCCGCGTGTGGTCACTTACCTGTGGATTTTCAAAGGGCTCTGGAAAAGCGGGGGAAAGTAGAGGGAAATGCTTTTCAGGCGGCGCCAAACTCCCTCAAGTTGAAGCTCCCCTTCATCTCTGGTGGCCTTCCCACCCGCGGTCTGTTTGCATTGAAGTCGATCATGTAAGTAATTTCCCCTGTCCGGGATTCAAAACACCGAAATCGAATCAAAATCCACCGACAGTCGGTCGGTAGGAGATTGATTACTGTTAGGAGTGTGATAAATCGCTGTTTTTATTAACTTTTTCGGGATGACGCAGCGCAATCGGTGCTGCATCTCCCTCCATTCGCCACATGAGTACTGAAGATCAGATGGAAATCAGATCAGCGTGATAATGTATAATTTGTTGAAGGGCTTTCGGCGTGCTGGAAACAAAGGCGATGCCATCGAGTTGGGTTAATTGAATTTGCTGGAGAGCGGACAAAGATTTTCTGCAATATTGAGTCAATGTCGAGCACATTTAATTTAGGATATCTTTTGTCAAAAATTACCTTTATTATAAATGTTCCGCAAGTTACCAGTTCAAACAAAGCTTGCATATCATAATATTGCAATCTTTTAAAATCTCTTTGAGTAAATATGATTATTCCGTTTTGCGATTTAAAATTTAACTTTTAACAAATAAAATACAACAATACAAACTTTCTAGCCTTAAAAACAGCAGTTAATCAAATGAATGGATCTTTTAATGCAAGTAATTTAATGTTTTTGCAAGGCACACACTAAAAACTGCAGTTTGTGAGAGAAAGAGATATTTCGAAATGTTGCTTAAGTAAGCTATTCAAATAGCCCGCTCAATTAATAAAATATCGATATATCTCAAATCGTTCGCCGCCTATCGCGTGCAATCTGGTCACACTGCAAGCCCAAAAATCCAATTGGAAACTAGAGCTGGGTAAATATCGATAGAACTCACAACTCTCTTCGCTCTTCCATGAAATATTCGGCTTATCGATACTGCCGTGAGTGGTCAGCTCATCGCTAATTCCAAGTGGGACACGCTTAACACTTTTTTTTTGCCAATTTG